GGCCCTGGAGGGACACTGGCTGCTGAAGGACACCGTGCAGGGGTGGGCAGCCTGCACTCTCCAGAGGGCCTGAGTTCCCCAGATTCCACTGCTGGCCCAGGCAAGTGCCTGGAGCTGCATGGCTTCCTGGATCGGAGTGATAAAGTGCCTCTGTTGAGTTTTTCAGTGTGTGGCTTTTGTGACAGACAGCCTGGGGCCTCTGTGGGCCTATGACAATTTCTGGGACATTCAGGGTGACTCAGCTTGGCCTTTTACTGTTTCTGGTTGCAGTTCTGGGCCTTCAGCTCAGGGCCTCTGAAGTGAGCTACATCCCTAGCCCTTTTGTAATTTTTCATTTTGAGACAGTCTTCTAAGTCACTATGTTACCCAATCTGGGCTTGATCCTCCTGCCTCAGCCCCTGAGGGGTGGGGTTATAGGTCTCACCATCTGCACCAGCTCTGTCAGAAAGTTCTGGATGGGGACGGGAGATTCGCGGTGATGGTGGTGGTGCATGCCTGTCATCCCAGCACTCAGGAGGGTGAAGAAGGAGTATCGCCATGAGTTGGAGGGCAGCCTGGGCTATAATAGACCTTGCCTCAAAAAATAAAACAAAAGGATTCTGTTTTCAGTTTTTCTGAATATATCTACATCCGCACAAGTGTGGTTGTTGGACCATACAATTGTATTTTAATTTTTGGAGGAACTTCCCCAGCGTTTTTCCACACTGCCTACAGCATTTTACAACGCTACCAATAGCGCACAGGTGTTCCACTTTCTTCATATTCTTGCCAATATTTATTCATTCATTTACTTTTTTCAATGGTAATTCTTTATCAGACATGTTTTCACAAATATTTTCTCACTTTTTTTTTTTTTTTTTTTTTTTTTTTTTACAGTATTAGGCATTGAACCAGAGCCTTTGCACTGGGCTCCACCCCCAGACCTTTTTTTACTTTTTATTTTGGGTCTTTCCAAGTCGCTAAATTGTTTAGAGTGGACCCAAACTTGGGATCCTCCTGCCTCAGCCCATCGAGTGTTGAGAATACAGGCCTGCACTACCATGCCGGGCCTCTTTGCCCCCCTTTTTGTGTGTGTGTGTGTGTGTGTGTGTTTGAGACAGGATCTCGCTGTGCAGTTCAGGCTGGCTTTGAACTCACTTCTGTAGCCCAGGCTGGCCTCGAACTCAAAACGATCCTCCTGCCTCAGCCTCCCAAGTGCTGGGATTACAGGCATGTGCCACCACTCCTGGCGCTTCTTGTTTTAATACTGTCTTTTTGTATTCTCAGACGATCGCACTGTGTTGTCCAGGCTGGTCCCGAACTCACACTTAACCTGCCTCGGCCTCTCAACTGCTGGGATTACATGTATGCGCCACCACGCATGGCCCCAGTCTACCTATATTACGAATTCATGGCGCTAGCTACAAATCCCGTGCTTGCTACAAATCGTCCTGTAGATTTTCTGGAGTAGCTGGTCTGAGCCCCGATCAACCCAAGAGGGTGCTGAGGCTAAATGCAAACGGCCTGCTCAAGGTTGTCTAGTGAGCAGAAGGTGTAGGTGTTAGGTTGGAGCTGAGGGCTTTAACTAGAGCGCTCAATCGCTGCAGCCTCTCAGACGCTCGCTGCTTTATCTTGTTGAATGCCCAGAGAATGAATGAACCTCTCGGGCGCTCGGGCGCAGCTCCCCCGCCCCCCTAACCAAGCAGAAACCAGCGGGCGGAGGTGGCGCTTGGACGAGCCCACTGTTTTGCCCTGGGAGGGGGTGAGCGCCCATCGTACGCATGCGCACTCTCCGCGCACGATCAGCTCCGCTGACTGCCCACACATGGTACGGCCTCTCTGTGCGTGGTACGTCTGGCTTTCCCCTGCGCCTGGGCCAGGGTGGTACGCGCTGCCTCCGCTGGCTGCCCCTCCCAGTTGGTTTCCGCGCGAAAAGCCGGGGCGTCCTGTGCTGTCGCTGCGTCTGCTGGAGCCTTCGGGATGCCGGCTCGCACCGCCCCAGCTCGAGTGCCCGCGTTGGCCACTCCGGCCATCTCACTGCCCGACGATGTCCGCAGGCGGTAGGTGTTGCGGAATGGGGTTGTGGGGACCATCTACTCGGGGAAGTGGGGGATCCAGGCAAGACGCCGGGGTGGGGGGTTGCTCCCCCTCGGGGTGGCCCGTGGTCGCCGCTGACAGCCGGGCGCGCATGCGCGGGGTGGCGGCGCGGCGCTTGGCGGTGGCGGTTGGCGCGGGCAGAGAGGCACTTCCGGCCGCGCGCTCCGTTGGCCGTTTGGCGCCAAAATGGGCTGAGGCCCCTCTCAGCTGCCTGGTGACTAGAAACTTGGGGTGGGGGACCTTTTCGGACCCCAACGTACAATAAGCTTTGGGTTCGTCCCGGAGGTGGGGGCTCCCCTTCTCTTTCCTGGGCGCGCAGGAAGTGGGCAGCCCGCGGCCGCGGGGCCGGACCCTCAGCCCTGGGACTCCGTCCTCCACTTCCGGTGCTGGGCCCGGGCCCCGGGGGCGTTCCTGGGGTCTCCTTGGTGTCCCCGCAGTTGTTCGCCCCAGTAGTGATCTGCGCAAGTAGACGTCACCATTGCGGGCATGGGTACGGGTGGCAGAAGTCGGCAAGCCTAGTCTCCCGGGGGATCCCCGGGATCCCCGGGGACCTCTGTGCTGAGGAGCGCTTTTGTTTTTGTTGTTTTTGAGACGGGGTCTCTCTCTGTATAGCCCAGGCTGGCCCCTGACTCCTGTCGGTCCCCTGGTTCCTCAGCTCCTTCCGAGTCCTGAGGTTACAAGTGTGTGCCACTTGTAATTTGGGTTGTCTTGGAGTTTTTTGGAGACAGGCTTTCTCGGTATAGTTCAGGCTGGCCTTGAACCCAAAGGAAATCCTCCTGCCTCAGCTTTCCAGGTGCTAGGGTTAGAGGCATGTGCCATCACGCTTGGCGAGGAGCTCTCCGTGTGTATCGCAGGGCTGGGGCCAGGACGTCGTGCCTGGGGACTGTCCAGAGCGAGGCTCTGCAGTGGCCATGGGAGGAGCAGAACATGGCGGCCAATGGAAGGGTCCCCGCCACGGCAGTTTGCCTCATGGGACTCCTGGACATAGAGGCTGGCGGGAAGACTGGCCTCCGGACTGGCGTTCCTGAAAGGCACCAGTGCATTCCTGAAAACTTGTTCCACATGAGCTGTGCATTAGTCACCTGAACCTTGACCAGTATTGGACAGTTCCAACCGGATCTGTTGACCCGCTCTGGCCATTTCTTCTTCCGGCCACTTCTTCTGTCGGCCATTTCTTCCATGGGCTCGCACACGTGGTCCACTTCGGACTTGGCCTGGCGGGGGATGAAGGTTTAGAGTAGTTGGACTTTTTGGTTTAGAGGAGTTGGGCCTCGCAAGATAGGCAAGCCTTCGGTATCACTGAGCGGTGCCTCCAGCTCTTCAAACTACTTTTTGTTTTTTGATACAGGGTCTTGATATGTAGTTCAGGCGCGTCTTGAACTCACTATGTAGTCCAGGCTGGCCTCAAACTCCTGTGGATCCTCCTGCCTCAGCCGTCCCCAGTGCTGTGATCAGAGGTGTGCACCACCACAATCAGCTCAAAGCTCCCCCCACTTTTTTTTAAACTCCTAACAGCTCCATCAGCTGTATACTAGAAAGTATTTTTAACATTTGGATTTCTGAGTCTTTAACTTTTTAAAGTATAATGTACCAAAAATAATAAAGTATAATGTACCATAAGCCTTTTAATAATCGTATCTTTCAGGATGTCACAATTTTCTGCTTGATTTTCTTACCTGTTCAGGCAGCATCATTTGCACAGCAAAAATGACCTCCCAGTTGTCTTCTGCTGCCACTCAGGGTTACTTTTTACAAAGTAGATACTTTGATGGTCTTAGAGCAAGAGCTGGAGCCCCGGCTTCCCTGCCCCACACCTGGACATCAGGTACTGATTCATGGCTCCCTGTGTGAGTCTTGCATTCATCTTGCACTCTTCTCATAGCAGCGCAGGCCTTTCAGGTCCTCAGGGCCTGGGCCATGCTGAGCATCTAGTGGAGCTTGGAAACCATGTGCCCTTCCCCAAGCTGCCTACTGCCCGTTCTTTTTTTTTTTTTTTTTTTTGTATTACCTTAAGATTGAACTAGGATCTCCCCAGCCCTTTTTTAAATTTGGTTTTTAAATCATGTGACAAGCCTTGCTCAGTTGTCCAGGCTGGACTCGAACTTGCTACCTGCTTGCCTCAGCTAAGTGCTGGGATCACAGGCACATGCCCCATCCTTGGCCCTGTCCATTCATTCTTAAACCTGCCCCTCAGGAAAATAGCTGGGTTTTTCCAATAAAGATGTTGGAGTCTTTTTTTTTTTTTAAGAACTTTATTTCTTTTGTGGTGCTGAGCACAGTGCTATGCCTGAGCTCCATCCCCAGCCCAGAAGGTATTGGGTTCTTGATGTACCCTCCCTGCTGGTTGCTTCAGGGACTGCTGGAGAATATATTTGCCTTCCTCATGGGCTCTGCTGATGGACCATCTTTGCTGCCACCCTTTCCACTGTAAGGAGGCTGGGATTTACTCGCTGATTCTAGTGGCAGCCTCTGCGCAATTGATTGGCCTTCCTAATTACTTCAGCTTTCTTATCTGTGTGTCGTTCTGTGATTAGATTAAACTGGGTCTTGGAAGCCTTAACCTCAGTGGCACAACCTATGGAACAGATACTGAATAGGGCAGAACTGACATCTTTTTCTGTCTCTGCCCAGTTGTGGTTTGATAGTAGAGATGCAGATTCCTGGGCTCCAGCTTGTGATCACCTGCCTCAGCCTTCCACGGTCCTAGGATTACAGGCAGGCGCCTCCATACCTGGCTGAAAAATCCGGAATTTCTAGCGCTTAGTTTTAACTTGTTGCCAGATCATACCAGTTGAGTAGATTAAATCAGACAATGTCTTTTCTTGCGCTGGGTGGGGGTAGTGCTACGGGAGGAACCGAAGGAAGGCCTCGTGCTTGCTAGGCACGTGTTTTACCACTGAATTATCACCTGGCACAAACCTACATTATCTCACAGTTCTGCAGATCAGAAATCTGCTGTGCATCTCACCAGGTCAAAAAGCCTCTGCTGGGCTGGGTGTGGTGGCACACATGTGTGAATCCAGCGCTTGGGAGGCTGAGGCAGGAAGATTGCTATGAGTTAAGAGGCCCGTTTGGGCTGCATAGTGAGACCTTGTTTTTCAACCCCTTCCCCCCAAATTCTGATGGCTGCATTTCTTTCTGGGGGCTTTAGAGGACAATGTTTCCTGTTCTTGTGGTGTTGGTAGAATTCAGTTCATTGTGGTTGGGAAACTTGGGTCTCCATTTTCTTGCTGGCTCTGAACTGAGGGCCGTTCCCCCTTGTGGATGCTGGCTCGTTCCTTGGCCCTGGCCCCTTCCACTGACCTCAAAGCCAGCCCCTCAGGTAAGTGCTCAGGCTCGGATCTTCTCCAACAGCTGCTGCATTTTTTTTTTCCTTCTTCTGAGGCAGGGTCTCACTATATAGATCAGGCTGGCTTTAAACTCACTGTGTAGCCTAGGCAGGTCTCGAACTTGCAGTCATCCTCCTGCCTCAGCCTCCCTGAGCGCTGGGAAGACAGGTGTGGCACAGGAGGCGCCAGCACTGCTTTTGAAATGCAGATAGAGGGCTCTCTGCTCTCACCAGAGTGATTAGATTAGATCTCCCATTAGATCTCATCATCGTGGGGCTCTAACCTCAGTCACGTCCGCAGTCATTTTTGATAGCTGAAGTAACACACTCATGGCTTGGGGCAGGGTTTGGTGCTTGGGCATCCTGGGGGGCTGTTGTACTGCCTCTGCGGGGGCTAAGACTAGTCCCACCCCGCTTGGCAGAAGCAGAGGTGGGAGCTGGAGTGCGGCTCTGTGGCAAGCACTTGCGGAGCAGGCCGAAGCCCTGGCTTCCATCTCCAGCGCTGCAGGAAAGAAAATGGAAAAGGGCAGGGTTAGCAGAAGCCTGGGAGTCTGTGCGGCCGCCCCTGTTGCCAAACCATATTTCAGACCAGCATTTCTGGTTTCGGGATTTTAGAGTCACTTACTGTTCTGTAATCCATCCTGTCTCATCCGTATTTTTCCCTGGATGAATTTTTCTGAAGTGTGACTGGAACCCTGGCTTCCACCTCCCCCAGGACCCTTTCACAGTTGGTTGATTGTGGAACAAAAGCAGTACGCTTTCCTGGCTGCCTGCTGTAGGTTTGCCTTTCCTGGTGGGTGTGGGCACTCCTGGTTTGGGGGCTCCTTCTGCCCAGAGGAACCGCCCCGGACCCCCTTCCTAGTGCTGTGGGCTGTCTTCGTGGAAGCGCTCAGATTTTGATTTTGCCTTCTCCGCCGTGGTTATATATATCCTAGCTCCCTGATGTGACTAATCTGTGAGGGAAGCAGCTAGGAATGAATCATGGGACCAGGCACGTGAGCCAAGGTTGTCCCCTCCAGCCCCTGCCCCCAGTACTGGGGATCAAGCCCAGCGTTGCTGTACCCTTGAGCCGCAAAGCACCCCCCTGGCCCACTGGCTGTTTGCTGTACGGGGAATCGAACCTAGGGCCTTGCACATACTAAGCACGCACTCTACCATCAAGCTCTGTCCCCATTCCCCTCTCAGGTTTTTGAGACAGGGTCTCACTAAATTGCCCAAGCTGGCCTCCACCTTGTGATCCTCTTGCTTCAGCCTCCTGAGTAGCTGAGGTCAGGGCTTAGAAGCCACCGTGCCAGGTCCTGTTGGTTGTGCCTGATGCGCTCTTGAGTATCAGCCCTGTGAGGTGGCGTCACGAGTTTCTCTGGGGGCAGGGATGGACTATGAAGCTGCTTCCCGCCAGCTCCTTGGGGCCAAGCGGGGTAAAGGCGGCCTTTAGGTGTCCCGCGCTGTGGCAAGCCCTCTGCTTCTCCCTGCCTGGCTGACTGTCACAGTGCACAGGAAGGCTGAAGGGATTTAGACCCACAGATCTGCACCATGCCCGGGTGTGCACGTGGTGCTTGCATCTGCCGCCGCTAGGCCAGTGGAGTCTAGTCTTTAATGCCTGGGGCGGCCACATAGAGCAGGCAGGGCCCCTGCTGGTCTGGGTGGAGACTGTGTCTGGCCACTGTTTTAAGGACGGAGGGATAGGCGGGTGTGGTAACGCATGCCTGTAATCCCAGCTCCTCTGGAGGCCAAGAATCGCAAGTTCCATGCCAGCTTAGACAATTTAGTGAGACAGTGCTTCAGAATAAATAACAAGCCAGGCATGGTGGCACATGCCTATAATCCCAGCACTTGGGAGGCTGAGGCAGGAGGATTGCTGTGAGTTTGAGGCCAGCCTGGGCTACAAAGTGAGCTCAAGGCCAGCCTGAACTGCATAGGGAGACCCTACCTCAAAAAGACCAAAAAGCTGGATGTGGTGGCACACGTCTGTAATCCTAGTACTCTGGAGGCTGAGGCAGAAGGATTGCTGTGAGTTTGAGGCCAGCTTGAACTACATAGCAAGACCCTGTCTCATTTAAAAAAAAAAGTTGGGGGTGTAGGTCAGTGGCAGAGCACTTGAACGCCCTGGCTTCAGTCCCTAGTACATTGGAAAACAAAACATGAAACAGGGCAGAATAACCAGGGATGGACACGAGCTTCACAGGTAGAGGACTTGCAGCTTCGAGTGGGCCAGGCGCTGCATCCCATCCCCAGCACTGAAGGAAGAGACGAGAACATAGTGACCGAGTGGTAGACGTCCTGCTGCTGGCCTGGCCTGTGTGCCTTGGCTGGAAGTGCCCAGATGTGCGCTTGCCCGTGTTTCTGGCCCTTTCCTACTCAAGGTGGCAGGCCGAGGATGTAGCTCAGCGGCGCAAGCGCCTGCCTGGCAAGCATAAGGTCCTGAATTTGATCCCTAGTACCAAAAAAAAAAAAAAAGAGAAAAAAGAATTATCCTACTTAAGGTGACATGGCTCGTGCCTGCAGGAGGCTCCTACATACAAGCTTTGTTTTTAGTTTTGTTTTTTTGTGTGTATGTGGTGCTGATTTGGAACCCAGGAGCTTGTGTGTGCCAGGCAAATGCTCTGCCTCTGAGCTGTACACCCTGAGCCTGGGCTCCTGGAGGTCCTGATCCCAAGGTTGCTGGGCTCTGAGTGGTGTGGTCTGTGTAACCCGGGGTTTGTGACTCCTTTCCCCGGGGCAGAAGCATCCCTCTACACAAAGTCCCCTACCGAGTGCCCAGCTGGCCAGGAGGCCCCGCCCCGTGCTGCCCACGTCTGGCTACCTGCTCATGGCCTGGACCACGTCCTAGCACGCAGTAGGTGCCGGCAGGTGTGGGTGGCGCCAGAAGCGGGGAACAGGGTCCACCACGTGCGCCGGAAGCGGCCATGTTGGTCCCGCAGTGGCCTCGGGCTGGTGATAGCTGAGCACCCGGTGTTTGTCGCTGTGGGTGGGAGGTGCAGAGATGGTAGGGGCCTGCCTGGTCACCGCCTAGGGCACCCGCCTCCCGACCATGAGGGACACTGGCCTGGCCGGTTGGACCTGTTCTGCCCAAGCTGGGGACAGCGGCCCTCTCTCCTTGGCGTCTTCACTACTTGTTCCTGTTAGTGTTTTCCACTTCTACCCAAGAGTCAAGTCACTCGTCTCCAATAACCAACCCAGACCTCCATTTTCAGGCCACCTGAAAGCAGTTGTGCACTTTTGAGCAGTTAGGTACAGACATTCGGATTAGGCTTGGACCTTCAGGAGGACAAGCACCTTGGAGAGGCACCTGCCAACTCTCCCGCCCTCCCCAGCCCTGAGCACAGGCACCCCATCACCCCAGCTGCCTCCATTCCCTCATTTGGTTGGCCCTTATTAAGATGCTACCACCAGGGGCTGGGGATTTAGCTCAGGGGCTGGGGATTTAGCTCAGCGGCACAGCGCCTGCCTGGCAAGCGGGAGGTCATGAGTTTGATTGCCGATACCGGATAAAAACAAAAAAACAACAACAAAAAAAGGTGCTGCCACCCTCACTCGTCCTGGGAACAGCCGCTCGTTGCTCCTCACAGTGTGGCCCTGCTCTGCTTATTCTGACGCTAGCCACACTGTGGCGCCCTGTCTCTTTATTACTTTGTGGTACTGGGGATTGAACCCAGGGTCTTCACACTGAGCTGCATCCTGCCCTTTTTATGTTGCCAAGTTGCCCAAGCTGGGCTTGAACTTTTTTTTTTTTTGGAACTGGGAATTGAACTCAGGAGCAGGACCCCGCGCTTGCCAGGCAGGCGCTGTGCCGTTGAGCTGTATCTCCGGCCCTGGGCTTGGACTTGTAACCTTCCTGTCTCAGCCTCTCAGAGAGCTGGGATTATAAATGTGCAGCACTGCGCCTGGCCTGCGGCACCCCTTTTAGGAACTCCTGCCAGACGCAACTGGAGAACTATAGCTGTAGGTCGTCCAGCTTTCAGAGGGATCCCAGCTATGTGACCTGCTGCCCCTTTCCAGGTTCTTTTGGAAATAATGCCTGTTATGAAGCTCCTGTATTGTCTGTCACCAGAAGACTGACTGCAGCAAGGCCTTGCTCAGGTCACAGATGACGGACTTCTGTGTAGGCCTTGCTGGAAGACATGTCGGACATTTTGGGATGGGGTGAGAGAGGACGTATTTTTTTCCTAATACTTATGTTAAACTTACTTCCAAAACTCTAAAAGTGTAGGGGCTAGGGATTTAGCTCAGTGGCACAGCGCCTGCCTGGCAAGCGCGAGGTCATAAGTTTGATTCCCGGTACTGGAAAAAAAAAAACCAAAAACCAAAAAAACAAAACTGTAAAAGTGTAGTATTGATTCCTGGAGGTAAGCGCATTGCTTAATGAGTGTTATTTCCCATTTCCTCCTTTCAGGCTCAAAGACTTGGAAAGAGACAGTTTGACAGAAAAGGTAATCTCTGCTTTTATTTTTCAAACATTTTAAATATAACATTCTTTTTAGATGAGATCTGGTGTTGCCCAGGCTGATCTCAAACCCCTGGAGGGTCTCGCGGTGTAGTTCAGACTGGCCTTGGCCTCACAGTGGAGCCTGCAGTGCCAGGGCTGGGGTCACAGGTGTGCGCCACTGCGCCTGGCTCCTCCTGTAGACTGCAAATCGTCCCCGAGATGACTTAGAGTCCGTAATACGAAGTAAAGCCTATCGGAGTGGGTTTTGTGCTCTGTCGTGTAGGGGGAAATGACAGTTGTTTATGTCCAGTACAGGTGAGGTTTTTACAAACTCTCTTCCTTTGGAGGGTGGTTGAATCTGCAGACGCAGAGCTAAGGACAGAGGGCCGTTGTCCTCAGCCTTCCAGTGGAGATTGTGCGGGGGCAGCTAGTCATTGCAGTGAGAACAAGCAGCTTCCTTACCTGTGCGCTGTTAGTCGCTTAGTTAATAACCCACCAGCTAAGGGCCGCTAAGCCTGTGTCCTCCCCTTAGGAGTGTGTGAAGGAGAAACTGAACCTCCTGCATGAATTTCTGCAAACGGAAATCAAGAATCAGTTGTGTGATTTGGAAACCAAATTACATAAGGAAGAGCTGTCCGAGGTGAGTGAGTTCTCGGCCTCCTGGCTCCCGGAAGAACCCGCTCCCTGCGACTCTGTGACCAGGGAGGCAGACACCCTGCCCTCGCCACTGCCTGATGATTGTGGGGGACGCATGTTCCCTTGTTCTTATTGCCACTGGTTTCCATTCACTGCTACTCAAATTATCCTTTCCTGCTGTAGGAGGGCTACCTGGCTAAAGTCAAATCCCTTTTAAATAAAGATTTGTCCTTGGAGAACGGAGCACATGCTTTCAATCGAGAAGTGAACGGCTGCCTAGAGAACGGGAGCCAGGCCAGCGGTGCAGCCCGGAGAGTGCGAATGGCAGAGCCACACAGCCCCCCGCACAGCAGTTCTAAGCCCCGGGCGCCGCGGAGAAGCAAGTCTGATGGCGAGGCCCAGCGTAAGGACCTCGACTCCTCTCTGGCCTCACGGGAGGCCCCAGCACAGGGCGGGGTGGGGGGGAGGACAGTCAGGCTTCACCGGGGTGAGACCCTGGGCAGTAGCTCCTGGTTTCTTCTGTGTGTGCAGTGCTGGGGCCAAGCGGGGCCTCGAGCGTCCTCGCGCGAGCTTTTCCGCTGAGCGCCAGCCCTAGGCCTCCTAACCGGCTCAGTTGCACAGATGGGTCAAACCGGATCTCTCACAGTGAGGGTAGTGGACGGTGTGGAAGGAACACACACTCACTAGAAGCTGTCCTTTGATGTTTATTTATTGTTACGGTGCGGGGGGATTGAAACCAGGGCCTTTCCACTGAGCTGCATTCCCCAGCCCTTATTTTATTCTTTTTTGCTAAATTTCCAAGGCTGGGCTCAAAACTGTGATCCTGGTGCCTCAGCCTCCCAGAGAGCTGAGATTACAGGTGTGCACCACTGCACCCGGCTTGTACTTTGAATCTTGGCTTTTGATCTCTTCCTTGGCTGTATGATAGTCTTGTTGCGGGACGGGCTAGTGCCCTCTTGGCCACAGTTGGTGGCAGGTGCTGTCACCAAGGATGCCCAGCACCGGGCTTCTGCAGTAGCTTGGCATTGAAGTGCACTGTGCTAGGGACCAGTCTGCTCACAGTGGCCTTCTTTTGTTTGTTTTTTGAGCAGCTGGAACTTCACAGAGCCCCATGGTGACGAGGAGAACGACCAGGCAGACCACTATCACATCTCATTTTGTCAAGGGGTCAGTATGTGGGAAGTGGGCTCTGGCTTTTTCTCTAGGCTGAGTAGTTTGTTAAAGCACAAAAGGAATTGGTAGGGTGTGATTTAGCAGCCCCGATTTCCAGATTGCATTTCATGCATGTGTGTTTCCGATACTGAGACTTACACCTAAGGTTTTTGCACTGAACTGCATCCCCAGCCCTTTTTATTTTGATGCAAGAGTTTTCTAAGTTGTCCAGGCTGGGCCTACCCTGGGCTCCTCCCGCTTCAGCCCCCCAGAGTGCTGAGCATACAGGTGTGTGTATGCTTGTACACAGTATGGATGTACCTCCATGTACCTCGCATGGATGTCTGTGCTGGATGTACCATGTCGGCTCTGCATAGGTTACCTTGCGGTTTTCGGTCACTAGACATTCATGAATAGCATTTCTGAAGCCCTCTGCTGTTTTTATTCTTACAGGAAACTTCAAATAAACATAGTTGTAGAATGTAGTTTGGTGAACCCCCAAATACTTGTCACTCAGCATCCACAGTCACCAAGTCACTGCATTGCTTTACCCCCCATCTCCAGCTGGAGTACTTGGAAATGAACCCCAGACGGGCTGTTCCATACACAAAACCAAAGCATACTGAAGGCTGTCTACGTGCCTTCTCTGAAGGTTTTGTTTTGGCGTGCTGGGCGTGGAACCTGGGGCCTCATGCGCGATAGGCAGGTGCTGGACCACTGAGCTGCACCCTCGCCCCAGCCTTTTCTTTTTCGTTTTTTGTTTGAGACAGGGTCTCGCCACATAGTTCAGGCTGGCCCTGAACTCAAAGCATTCCTCCTGCCTCAGCCTCCCAAGTGCTGGGTGCTGGGATGATAGATGTGCAACCACACCAGGCCAGCTATTTATTTTTGAGACTGATGTCTTAATAGGTGGTGCCGTGTCTGGTAGAGATGTGTAATGTCTTCCCTTTGTGATATTAACAGCCATTGTTGAGTGTCTGGACCCGTGACTTACTGCTTATAAAGTGTCCATATTCTTTTTTTTTTTTTTTTTCCTCCGGTACCAGGAACCGAACTCACGACCTTGCGCATGCCAGGCAGGCGCTTTTGCCGCTGAGCTAAATCCCCAGCCCAGCGTCCATATTCTTAACCTGTCATTCAAAGAAACGTTAAACTGAAGCCTCTTTCAACATCCCAGGAGTGAGGGCCTCTCCCAGCAGGGAAGAAAGTGTCTGTACCCTGAATCAGGCCTAGAGGGTGCTGTGGGAAGGAGAGGTGTAAGTCACCCAGGGCCCCCAAGGCCAGGTCTCTGAACTCATGGTCACTTCATTGTGTGTGACAGCCCTGCCAAACGGAAATCCGAGGAAGACCTGGACAGGTCCAAGTCAGAGGAGTCTGTGGATGAAGAAGAGAAAGACCAGGTAAGGCGGATGTGGCCGGGGCTGACCGCGCCTGGATGTGTGTGCTGCAGGTCACCCGAACTGCAAGCTGCTAAATGAAAACCCGGTCAGCGGGTCCACCAGAGGAACAGTCAGGCGGGG